TTTCCATAAAATGATTTATTTAACCTACTTTAAATACCTGCAAACTCACAAACATAGGCTATTAAAAAAGGGCTTTCTGGAGTGGAAAAGATGGGCTAATTAGTCAGTTATTAATTTATTAAAATATTCAATCGCTCATAAAATAAAATGCCAAAAATACACCGTTAATGTTTCTTAAGGCGTAAAAGTTGCCTATTTTTAGTTCTCTACGGATATAGGCGTATGAATGATGGGTCTATATTGGTTGCACATGAGTATTTGAAGCTCCTGTGGGGAGTCTTTAGCTGTTTATCAAACAGAATGAAATTAATATGTATGCCTCCGTCTCTACAAAAGCACACAAGACCATCACTCCTGCGAGAACATTGGTTATTTCTAAATAGTTAATTGTCATCGCTTAACTGCTGCCACAGGGCAGGTGTAAAACTAAGTGCCTGCCGAGACAGCCTTTGTTCGTATTTTCCACAGCAAAGATTCACAGTGTGTGATATGTTTGACTGTTAAAAGACAGCAGGATCGGGGCACCAATGGCCTAGCGGTTAGGTCGCACCCATGTACAGTACAGAGGTTCTAGTGGGTGGGTTCAAGTCAAACTCTCTGGGTAAGTTACTCAAGGCTCTGTGTTCATTAATGGGACATCACCTCCTTCAGCCTGTTTAGAGTGTTACTCAGAGGCTAAAAGATGTTCCATACATATTTGATGGGATCCCCTCCTTATCCAGCTCTTCCTCCACGTGTGGGGAAGAGACGAGTTGACCTGCAGCTATTTTATTTATTTTTTACTTTTGTTTAATTATGTGTTTGTTAATTAATGTCTTGTGTTAAAGAGGGGCACATCTTATACGATTCTTCTTCTTGCTGCACCTTTTAAACCAAGATTTGAGATTATTTGTTTGTATTGAATTGTTAAACGTGCAAATAAATACACCGACTTGATATGTCACTGACAGATTCATCTTCTGGAAACAGCTGTTCCTTCTTATTTACATTCAGTGCTGAAGGCTTCATGTCAGGAGCTGGAGCCTTTCCGCTGCATTAGCAGAACAGGACGAGTGTAGGCCAATTCTTCAACTTTCATTAAAAGTAAAGCTCTTTAAGCCAAACTTTGCTGCGTGCCCAGACCCCCCTGACAATAGTGTACTAACTGTTCGCCCGCCAAACCATCAAACTATTTTATATTCCACACCTGCTAGACATTACACACAGTACTCCATCCCGGGCCATGCAAACACAACAGAACTGCCTTTGTTGGGGCCTCAGGACCATTAGGCAGGGTGGGTACCGCTCAAAAGTGTTCAAGAAACAATTTATCAGAAGGAGATAGACACACTACAGGCCTTTGTGCTCTCTGTGACACCATGCCCTAACGGCAGGCATTTCCTGCCCTGAGAAGGCAAGTTTTACAACATTTAGGGAGAGGTATTTTAATTGGAACCACCTCCAGCCTGACGGAGGCCTCAGTGGAGAAACATGGAAAAGCTGTTGAGAGCAGCTCAGGAGGCTCCCCACGGTGTCACACAGCTAACTAACCAGTCCAGGCCAGCTCAAGACTCTTTCCATTAGAATAATATTTGCTGTTTGATTTATGCTTAATCGCTCGTGTGGTAAGCAGTTTCTGTGTCTCATGCTGATTTTGTCATAAATCTTAAAGATGGTGGTCTCAATCCTTCTCTAATGAGTCATTTATAACAGTGCCAGTCAGGCAACTGTTTCACATTTGTTTTTCTTGTTTATCCTCGTTGCATTGTGTTAATGTGCGCATCCATTAAATTCATTAATGAGTATTTCTCTTTCGAGCATCTGTGCAGCGTCTGTTTGTGCGGGGACAGCACAGTAGGAGTCCCATTAAGTTTTCTTTCTCGACAACTTCTGACGACTGGTTCGACATCAAAGACAGATGTAGTGAATGGCATTATTCCCAATTCTTTGGCGAGGCTACACACACTTTGTGCCCTACAAACAAACACACGCTCTCTTCGGTATTAGTTCCAATGTGTTTTTTTAATTTTTTTTTTTTTTTTATTGATTTTCATGTCTGCACTAGTTTTTAACATTTTGTTCTGCCAATAGAACCAGCAGAAATCTCATAACTGAGATTCCGAGTGTAATTCAGGTATCACCATATCCATAAAATGCAGATTGGTCAACAAACATTTGGACATTGGAAATGTTAATGTACGATCTGCAGATAAAATCCACCCAGATTATGTGTTGTTTTTCTGATAATGGAAACATTTCTGTGTGCAGCCTTTAGCATTGACTGTGTTGTGTGAACATGATTTAAATTATCTTCCGCTGCAGCTTACATTGTGCAATGTCACACACTGTGGATTTATATAAAACATTTCCCTTTTATGATCATGTCTAACCTGCTAAACCTTTTTGTTCACAGCTGTGGGAGACCTTACATCAAACTGAGCCATGGGGAGGGCTCCATGGACAAGGGAGACAGGATACCACGGCCAGGTATGACCTCAGCCTGGCTTCTTTCTATCACAACTACTTCTTCCTTTTTTAAACAAAAGAAGAGTTTTTATGGGCATATTTATTATGTTACACTGTCTCTACTCCCCCCCCCCATACATATCCATAACAATGTGCTGATGTTGGAGCCTAATGAAAACAGTGGATGTTTCAAAGCTATTAAGAAAAGTTCTGCATTAAACCAAAGGAACAATGACTGTTCTGAATCAACAGAGAAACTTGTCTGTGTCTTGGACTATTTATTTTAATTGTTATTTAACCTTTATTTAACTAGGTTGGTCCCATTGAGATCAAGAACCTCTTTTCCAAGAGAGACCCGGCCAAGACAGTCAGCAGCAGAAACATAAAGTTACAAACAGAGACACAAAGGGAGACAAAGTACAATTTACAAAACATTAACATTTGCGTTAAAAGAGAGCCATCTTTGAGTCGAAACTGGGAGTCAGTAGTTCAAGCAGTCAAGCCAAAGGTATCGACTCCCTATAGAATCTGCTTCCAAGTCTTCCATTTTAAATTTAAAGACATTAAAGGACACCAGCTCTTTGAGTTTCAAATCATTCTGCAACAGATCCCAGGCTGAGGGTGAACAATACCACAAAAGCCCTTTTCCTGAATTTCTGTCCAAGTGTTTGGGACATAGAGCATAAAGCGGTCCTGGGGACACAATGAGTACTGTCCGGTACTTTTCTGCATGATAAAAACACATCCATAGGGTGGAAGTAAACCAAGAATGGCTTTATATATAAAGCACCTAGAGCCAGAGCAGACCATCCTACCCGAGAGGAGTACAACTCACAACAACTCATGACTAAACCAATTTATTGTGATGTAAAGTCAAGTTACATTCAAGATATATATAGTTTTCAGCTTTAGGTCACAGGGCAAAACAATCTTAACACCTCACCCTTTTGGCACAGTATTTAGCAACCAGTCAGCTGAAAATACAGCATTAAAATACAGACATAACATTTTTTTCTGACGGTATTAACTCGTGATGCAGACACTCAGTAAGAAATGTCTTGAGTGTGGGCAGTGAACACAGAATTTACCAGTGCTAACACAAACGACTGCTCACCTTCTCTGGGACTTCTAGTTTTTGATTACAGAAAGGGATTAGGGAAAGTGGATTAATGAGATGTGAATTAAACACCCTCCCAAAAAAGTGACAATAGGCATCATATTAAAGAGATTAATAGAGGGGGGATTTTTCCTCTGAAGCCGCAGGGTGACATCTCTTTGTTTTCCCTCTCCTGGCAGAGGACCAAGTGGTTGTGTCATCAGACTATGACAGCACCCACGAAGCCAACCACAGTGACAGCAGTGATGTAGCCCAAACAGAGGAGGACGCAGAGGAGGGGAAAAACCCCGCCCAGAATGTCATCCTCCACCACTAATACCTCCGGAGGTAAAGCAAGGACAGAATCTCTGCTAATGCAGCATAACGCTGTTAATGAGAGGCAGTAAATGTACAATCACACTATTAAATTGGAGCATGCATTATTTTTATTGCATCTACTTGTCTCACCGCTTCTCATCATGTGTCCCCGCACAGGACAAACCCATTCTGGCTCCAGAACCGTTATTAATGGAGGACTTAGAGCCCCTGATGAGTCAGCTAAACAATTGGAACTTCCCCATCTTCACAATGATGGAGAAAACCAACGGGAAATGTGGGCGCATCCTCAGTCAGGTAGGCACAACAGAACGCTCGAAAGGGAATTGTCAGAGGTCAGTCAGGAGTGGAGTGGATTGATAAATTGCAGAATGATACGCCAGATTTGGCAACATTTAAGCGATAAAATGCTCAAATATAAGGAACTGCTGAGATTTGCATTTGCATTCATGAATAATAAGACTTGCATTGTGTTGATCCAAGCCTGCTGGTGTTCACAGTCTTTCTGTCAGTAAGCCTTTTTTTGTTTGTTTTTAGGTCGCCTACAGGCTCTTTGAAGACACTGGCCTGTTTGAAACCTTCAAAATCCCAGTCAAAGAATTCATGAACTACTTCCATGCCCTTGAAAACGGTTACAGAGACATACCATGTAAGCTTGGACATCTCTGACCTTCTTTGTTTTTGATTTTGGCTGAGTTTGACTCTAACCTTTGTTTGCAGCTGTAATGATCAAAAACAGCCACTAGAGGGAGATGTTGCACAGTTTTAAAGTGTTGGTCATATATGCCTGTATTCAGCCTTTATGTTGTGACAATCTACATTAGTTGACCAACAGTGCCTCCTGGTGGAGAACATGACACACACTTATCAGACGGTTTTTTTGTCTTCTCACTCAGATCACAACAGGGTCCACGCCACAGACGTTCTTCATGCAGTGTGGTACCTCACAACGCAGGCTGTGCCGGGTCTGCCTAGCCTCATAGCTGACCACAGCTCTGCCAGTGACTCAGGTGTGTCTGATTGTACAGGTACATACATGCAGACGTGCACTGATGATGGAGGTGTTTGTGTATTGTGTCAGTGTGTCTGTCTTCAATTTAAAAAAAAAAAAACTTTTTCCGACTTTTGAAAGTAATTAATTTCCTTAAAAACTGTCAATATGTAGGTCAGACTTCATGATTCTCCTGTGTGCCTGCAGCATTACAGTGAGGGATCTCATTAATGTGAGAGTGTCAAACCTGCAGGAGAGTGTGTTCTTATCCTACTCGCACTTTATCTTATCTTTCTCCGGCTTTTGGCACTTGCATTGACATTCCAAATATTATTTGAAGTCTAGATGTCTAGCCAGCATGAAATTGCAGGCAGATTAGAGTTCCCTCTCACTCATATTTTCATAACCTCATTTGTATGCCTTACTAGGGCCATCCCTTTGATCCACATACTGTATAAGGGGATTTCAGTTTTTAAGTGTGTGTGTGTGAGTGTTTTTTTTTGTGTGTTCATTCTTGTGTGTTAAGGTATGCACTCTTAAAAGTACAGTATATATTTTGAAAATCCTTCCTCACACTGCCTGTTCCCCTGCGGCCAGACTCTGACAGTGGAATAACACACAGTCACATGGGCTTCCTGGTTTCAAAGACCTACACTGTGTCAGAGGACGGTTACGGCTGCTTGTCAGGACTCATACCGGCTCTGGAGCTAATGGCCCTCTACGTGGCCGCTGCCATGCACGACTACGACCACCCGGGCCGGACCAATGCTTTCCTTGTGGCCACCAGCGCTCCACAGGTACTAATGCTATGCAGCTTATGGTATCAGACAGTATCTGATAAGGATCAAAGGGGGGGGGGGGTTGCTTGCTTTTCCAGACTCAGATTTTCTTTGTTATATACAAGACAATGATTCAATTAAAAGTGTTTTCTTTTTCATATTCCCTTATAGAATTGTAATTGTACATTTTCTGATTGATGAGTAGGCTTTTATTTTTATTTTCAACTGAAAGCGTCTGTGTGTTTTGCAGGCGGTGCTCTACAACGATCGATCCGTCCTGGAAAACCACCACGCTGCCTCAGCCTGGAACCTCTTCATGTCCCGGACGGAGTTCAACTTCCTTGTTAATTTGGACCACGTGGAATTCAAGCGATTTCGTTTCCTGGTCATTGAGGCCATACTCGCAACTGATCTGAAGAAGCATTTTGACTTCCTGGCAGAGTTCAATGCCAAGGTATTTCTAAAAAATGTAATTGTTCGACAGAAAATAATGAACTGAAATGACGGAAGAACTAAACTGAAGAGCTTCATAGATATTGTTATGAATGATCGCAACTTAGGGGCGCAGATGGCCTAGTGGTTAGGTCGCGCCCCATGTTCGGAGGCTATGGTCCTCCAAATGGGCGGCAAGGTTCAAGTCCAGCCTGTGGCTTCTTTCTCACATGTCATTCCTTACACCTTCTCTCCCCGGTTTTTCTGCTATATCCACTTTCCTCAAAGCAAAAAAAGCCCAAAAATAGGTCTTTCAAAAGAAAAAAAGATTGCAGCTAAAAACCTGTCAGATTGTTTGTTTCTTTATTTGACATGTTCCTTAAAAAGTGTGAAGATAGAGAAATATAAATTGTATTTATTGATTACCATAGTAATAGATGTGTTAAAAAATCCAAACAAAAACACAGTGATGACTAATAACTGCAAGTTAGCTTGTTGTTTCTGTGCCATGAGGGGAAATATTGAGAAGAGTGTTTTATTGGATGCAAAGTTAATAATCTTCCTGGAGTGCAGGATGAGATTACCACTGATGAACCCAAAATATCATTATTTACATCTAACACTTTTTTTTACATTGTTATGCCAGATACTAAAAAAAGGAAACAATTAGCACAAATACTATGAAATAAATGTATAAATTAGTTATCTATTTTCATTGCATGGGAACTTTTAGCAGTTTTAAAGGGGGGTTTGGGTCGATGCCAGCATATCAGCTTTGTGAGTCACATGTTCTGTGTAGGCTTTATTGAAAGGGAAATGTCCAGTGGTTTTCTAGGAACAAGTCTTTATGTTGAGAACATTGCAGATTACCGCAGTATGTTCCTGTCAAGTGAAAAAACACAAAGCGCCCTGCAGCTCTTCACTTACTGGTTTATGTGCAGACAGGATGTTGGCCTTAGATTGGAGAGTCTTGGGTTTTCTATTCTGATTATTAGTACAGTGGTGAGGCTTCATGGCCGAGGCCTGCCAGCCAGTATTGCGCTCATTAGCTGGGCAGCAAATGTAACTGCAGTGTGTCCGACTGCTGCTCACCCTGCTCTGATCTTCCTGGAAGTAAAAGGGGAAATTAGATTTCTGTGAAGTACCTATCCAGTTTGGCACTTGATCTCTTCATTTTCCTGAGTTATTAAGTGAGGAAGATAAGACTCTGGGAGGGACTCAGTGATCCTCTTTCACTAGATATGAATCTAATGAAGGAAAGTAGAAATACAAATTTCATTCAAGCAGTGTTGAGGTAAATATATAAATATATATATATATATATATATATATATATATATGTGTGTTTTTTTTTTATTTTATCCCTTAGGAAAATTCTAGTTTTAAACTCTGTTATTGAGAGACATGCTTTTCTCACACATAGGCCTGAAACACAAACATTCACAAACACGACCTGTGCACAAGCATTAGTGGAGAGATGTCAGATTGCTACACACTGCTACACAGAGCAGCGCACCAGAGTTGTTGGGGGTTCGGTGCCTTGCTCTAGGGCACCTCAGCAGTACTCGTGAGGTGGCCTGGCACCTCTCCTGCAACCAGACCAACTTAAAGATTCCCAACCCAAGTCCCTACAGCCTAAGCTACATGCCGCCCCAACACAACACAAGCTTTAACTGCTTTTGTTTGATGTTGCAACATTCATGGAAATAAACCGTTCGGTCACATAAATAAATGCATAACTAACAATCTTCAGAAACTTCAAGAGGACATGATTTAATTAAAGCATATTTTATTATGCACTTCACCCTTCTAATAAATGTTAACATATTTCAGAAACAGAGTTGTTTGTGACCTAAACAGAACAGATGGAAGCTTCTCAGTAACACTCTTATTTCTTTGTCTCATATGGAGTGATTCTATTGTTGTTCTCCTTCTCCCTGATTAATAAACTCTCTTCATAATTTGAAGTTACAAACTTTGAGCCGCTGTTCTTGTTAAGGTTATTTTAATATCAACATATCTACCGTGCTTGTGTCTATGTTCATGTTTGAATTTGTTAATGGTCAACATATCTGATGCTTATTCCCTCAGGTGGGTGACGATCCATCCACGGGTATTGATTGGTCGAACGAGAACGACAGGTTGCTGGTGTGCCAGATGTGCATTAAACTGGCCGACATCAATGGGCCTCTGAAGTGTAAGGAGCTGCACCTGCAGTGGACAGAGGGCATTGTCAACGAGTTCTATGAGCAGGTGTGTGAAGCGACTCGGATGGGAACTTAGACCTCATTTGTATTTGTTAAACTGAAGATCAATGTGCTGTCATGTTTCTGTGAAGGGGGGAACACCTGCACAGGATAATACATCACAGTCCCATACACTCATCTGCAATACTAAATCATACTGAGGAGTCAGAGTTTTAACTCTTCAATAAATTATATTAACTGTTTGATTATATTTAATTTATTCTTACGTAACATATTATGTACCTTTACCCAAAACATTATAGAATACTATAATATTCATCTCCATATGATGAAAGAATAACATGTCAACAAGATCTGACCTTTGACCTATTTATTTATTTTCAGGAAGCAAATAAGAATTTCAAAGCTTAAATGAAAGATACCAGCTGACTTACACTTTCAGCACCTAGGTGCTTCGTCTATATGATTTATCTTAAGAAGCACAACAATGATCAAAATAAAGCTTGTTGTACCACAATTAATAACCCCAACCTCAAACTGTCTCACCAAACATTTAAAATGAAATAGATAGAGGACCAGAAGAGCTCTGTGCTGCATGTTTCAGACAAATCCACCTTCAAGTCCATAGAGACTAATATACAGACAGCAAATATACATATATTAAAATATAGGGTTCTGCTCTAATTCTTTTTTTTTTCTTCATGAAGGCTTTGCATTGAAGCGTGTTGGATTTCACTCCCTTTAACACATTTGTCAAGAGAGATTGAATCTCTTGACATCCTGATTTAGTGAAGGCAGTGCTCCTCTGAGAGTTGTTATTTAAGGAAGAGCTGTCATACCTGACAGGATTCATACATCTGTACACTTACATCATATTTTAAATGTATACAGCATTTACATAAGCCAAAGAAAAAGTTATTCATCCTGCAGGAATTAGTTTTCCCATGCAATGTAGTATGGCAAAAATAATAACAACCTTAGAATTACATTTTTAAAAACACTTTGATAAAAAACACCACAGAAAACAATTTAAATCAATAAAGGCAGACAAATTCCAAAACCTAGATGTGATAATATATATACAAAGAGATTTAAAGTGCAGTTTACTTTGCAGTTGTGTGTTTCAATTTGCTCTAACTGCAAAAAAGTAAATAATCACAACTATGTTTTTTTTTGTCAATGTAATAAAATCATGTGTCATCCCAGCCTTAGTTTTAATACGACATTTTTAAGTGTACCGGTACAGTTAAGTTAAGTCAATACATCAACTCTGACCTAACTTCTACTTTAAAGACATGCATTATTTCATGCCTATTTTTTTATGAATGAGTCAAAACTTAGATGGTCCAAACTCTTTGTCAATAAGCCATAATAAGTGTTCAATTACATTATGATTGAAAGGCAGTACTAACTTTTAGTCTTTCACCAAGACATGCATGAGGGGTTCTGAATGTTAGAAACACAAGTGAACAAAGTGCAGTCAAGCAAAACAACACCACTTACTTAGACCTTAATACACAGAGTTGACTTAACCTCTATGACACTGCTTAAAACATATTATTACAGCCATTATAAAAGCAGGGTTTATGGGAGAACAGTTGTATTGAATACAATTAGATTGCATTAGTATTAAAGTGGCCACTGAGTGTACAGGCTGCTATAACAAACAGGATCTAGTCCAGCATTCAGCCTATAAGGCCACCCTCAGCCACCTTTGTAACAGTATGTACCTTGGCATTGACTGGCTGCCAATCTCTGCTGCTAATTGCATCAGGGTCAAGCTCCGATCCTTTATGTACCCTGCTCCTTCAGCAAAGGGACACAACCATCTTGTTGAAGGCCACTCAGCGGTCTATGCGAGGAGTAACAGAGTGCTGGAGAAATGTTCCTCATTGTCAGCATGTTGTAGTACTGCTGCTGCTGCTGCTGGTTGTGGTGATGCATGCAAGCTGCCCAGGCAACTGTCATTCAGGAGCAGCAGCCTCTGATTACAGCTGTGAGAGAGCGACAACCTTGAAAAAAAAGCAGCAGAGCAATACAACTCCTCCTCTATACAGAACATGCTCAGGCATGTATACAAAGCATACACTCGCACAAGCACTTTGTAATGGATCAGGAAACATGTCGACAGAGCCCCTCGGGATGAGATTTGTTCACCATGCTGAAAGGCTTTTTTTTAATTGATTATGATGTGTGAGCCATGATGTGGGTGTCGAACATTAGTATCATAATACTGGTTACATCTGTGGGATTCAAATGTGCACATTTTACAACTGCTGGGAGTCCCGCTGAGCAATATGAATATTTGTATTTTTGAATATTCATCTTGTATTTATTTGGACAGCTGAATTAGAAGAGGTGTTGGCATCAGGCAGTAGTTATACAAAAGCTAACTTTACAATGCCCATCTGTGTAGGATGTCGTCATTGTGACAGCACCCCTCCTCGTGTTTTCAAACCATTCATGTCCGTTTATCTGTCAGGAAATTCCATCAAGTTGCCAATCCTCTTGATATCCAATCTTTTGTGCTCCTACATTATTAGCTCTGTACTCTGCAGGAACAAAGACTTTCCACTGTATAGTGTATGGGATTACACTTTGGGGTTAGTTACCAAGGCAACCAGGAAACCTTGCTGTATAGCTGTTGTTCATCCCCTTCCATACAGATATCATATACAGCACACAAGCTGCTGAATTTCATAAACAGTAACTCAATGAAATTTGAAACCCTGAGGAAAGTTGAATAATGTTCTGAATACACAGGAAACAAAGACGTATGCAGGTTATTTACTTCAAAGTTAATTGGTTTGTGTTACTAGCTGACAGCAGTTCAGCTAAATATGCAAAAATGTTTGTCATGTGCGGGCAAGAAGACAATCGAACATGTCCTTCATAGATGAAAAGTAGGCTTGATGTGTTTATCACTTGAGTGAAAAAAATCCTCTGAGTCTGAAGAGTAAAGTAAGTTCTTCACTCAAGTGATGAACACATCAAGCTGGATCATTCCACCCACCCCCCAGAAGAGCCCCCGTTTGCTTGTGTTTGCATGTTTTGTACATGTCCTTAATAATTGAGTCTCCAACTATCAATACATTTTGAGTAAAAAGATGCGTAATTAGAGTCCAAAGGACACTTCAAAGATATTCTTCTGGAAGTAGAAAACAACAACATTTTAAAGGTGCACTATGTGGATTTGGTAGTGAAATTGGAAAGTTAGAGAAGGTAGTCAATTCTGTGCTATTGTTTCTGAACTAAATACACAAACTTTATTCAAAGGAAAAAAACGGGTCCCTGAACACCTTTTAGAGCTTAAAAGCTACCAGGAGAGTTACGCTTTCACTGTCGTGGGCCCCCCACCACTACTCTTCATGCAGCATGTTATCTTCAAACAGTGTTACAGGGACCAAATGTTCCTCTGAGGACAGTTTATGTATCGAGTTATAGACAAATACAACAGAATCTGTACACTCCAACTTTCACATTTATATACCAAAACTACATAGTGCACCTTTAAAGGACCTATATGTAACTTTTTACATGTATAAATCGTTTTTTATCCCCCATTAATGAGCGAACGGTTAACTGATGTGAAAAAGTAGATGTCCACTGTCTATCTGTGTTGCCTGTATACAATTTTTCCTCGGGTCGAATTTTCCACGAGAGCGAGCAACAGGTTACTGGTGCAGTTCGCCTAACGGCCTGCGGTGTCACTACAAACGCAGTATTTTTCAAAGTTACATATAGCCTCTTTAAGCGACACAATGGATCAAGCTGTCCCCACATACTGTATGTCTCTTTTCTCTTGTTTAAGAGTATCAAATTAAAGACTTCTTTGAAGGAAACTTATTAAGAAATTACAAAACTGTCAAATACAATATTTCCTTTAATTTCATCCTGACCACAAAAAGTGAACTTTCACTATCTGCACACACATGCTGTGGGTTACATTAGAGACATGAAAGAGGGGTGTAAAGAGGTCATTGATTGTCATGGTGAATAACAGGTCTCTGGCTGGTTTTTAAGGCCATTCAACAACTGCTGACAGTAATTCTCTTAGCTGCAGTTGGCATTAATCATCACATTCTTACTTAAAGAGAATCAGACTTGCTGGATGAAAGCTACACATCATCCTACTCATTCAGTGTGGTCCGAATGACTCAGCTCTTTTGGAATGGACTATCCATTGGAATATCAATTGTGCATATATTCAGCTAATAATTATTTGGCACTAATGTGGGTTTTAATTTGTAGGGAGATGAGGAGTCCAGCCAAGGCCTTCCAATCAGCCCTTTCATGGACCGAGCAGCACCACAGCTGGCCAAACTCCAAGAGTCGTTCATCACACATATCGTGGGACCGCTGTGCAATTCCTACGACTCGGCCTTCCTCATACCTGGACGATGGGTGGAACCCAGCCCAGATGCAGAGGAGCCGGACATAACGGAGAACGAAGAGGAAGAGGAGGAGGACACTGCAGAGGAAGACGCATCAACCTGCTCAGAAGCATCACGTAAGCACTGTGGTCTTAAACTACGCTATAAGCTGGAAGTGGCTGCAAGCTGGAAGTGAAATGATTAGAAACATGCTGCAAGATGTCAACAGCCCTGTCTGCTATGAATCATGGGAAATAAACTAGTCTGGTGGGTTTTGCTGCGTATAATCTGTGTTGGGCACGTTATTGAATCTGAAAAGTAAATAATTTGGTAAGAGTTACCGCAAATAGTAGTGGCATTACAGTATCATCAGCTCATTCATCAAAACAGTGTTTATAAGAATATGATTTTATTTGTATTCATTGGTTTATGCCTGTTAGACACAAAATAGACTTTATTACTAGTTTTAATGCAGGCTCTTTAAGCGGGGTGGATTTACAGTCGGAGAGTCAAACTGAATAAAATGTCTTCAAAGGCAACAATAACCCTTTTCACACATACAGAAATCTCCTGAAAAACTCTGGAGATTTGGCTACCCCGAGTATTTTTTCTGCAGAAAAGTCAGAGTGAGCTGATGTCTGAACGCGGCAGCATATACTCCGGAGATTTCAACTCGAGCCAATAGAAAGAGAATGACAATTATATACAGTGACCGGCTAAAGTGTCTGCACACGACCACTACGATCTCCGTGCACGTAATTAAACATCTGCATTATGTTTTCTGTTCCTCAGTATGTTGTTCTCCTCTCTTTTGTGGATGTTGTCATTCCATTGGATTACACATAGCATTGATATAAAGGCAAATATTCTCATTATAACGTTGTGTAGCGGACTCTGTTGCTTCGGCTGCTACTTCCGCGTTGTTTAGTTACATCACGTCTTACCTCAGGAAACCCCCCGCGACCCCTCCCCTCTGACAGGGAAAGTCCCCCCGCTGTGAGGAGCATATGTGAACAGCTAGGTCGGGAGAATCTCTGGAGCGTTCCTCCTGTAATTATCTAGGTATTATCCGGTGTGCATGTGTGAAAACAGCTACTGTGTGTTTTAATAAAAGAACCTACTTCACCTCTAACACTAAAAACGTGTACTGTTAAGACATTTAGAATGCCAGCTTTGAAAGCCTTATATAATCTTAAAGAAAGTTAATAAAGAAAGTTGCAGGTCAGGACTAGATTACGACGCATCTCATCAGGAAACTTTTTAGATATGTTATAAGTTAAGGCCTTACTCTAGCCGTGGAGAAACACAGTGCATTTAGATTGTTTGTAACTCAAACAACATATCCTTCCAACAAAGTTTCACATTTATGTGAAATACAATTTGAACATTAAATTAAGGAGCAGGGCACTGGTATGATTCAGTTAGTTGAGCAGCTGCCAATATAATGAGGCTTTAATCCTCAATGAAGCAACACCAGGTTTGACCTTGACGAATGTCTCTTCCAAGTATTTCATGTCATGCTTTACAGAGAAAAGGGAATGGACATACAGTTTAACAAAAGTTAAAAACCCTGATTGTTACATTCTACATGAAAACTTGCCCAACAAACCACAAAACAAGAGTGTGTAACTGTTCAGACAGTGGCTTTGATTTCTGATGAGTGGCTGCAGTTGTTAGTGTTTTCAGTTCAGGACCTCATTGTCTGAAGTCATTACAAATTTATCAAACCAATTTCTTTTCATTTTTTCTTTTCTAGAGAAAGCAGCTCCCAAGAAGAGGAGGAGAGTCTTCTGCCAGATCACGCAGCACCTGATGGAGAACCACGAGATGTGGAAGAAGGTGATCGCGGAGGAGGCCTCGAAACCGGGCCAGGGAGCAGAGTCAGTCCATTTAAACAATGTAGCTGAGCCAATCCTGGCTATTCACGAGGAGGAGGAGGAGCCAGGCAGCAGAGAGGAGCTGGTGGAGGGAGAGGATCCAGAGGAGGGACTGGAGGAACCAGAGTGGCCTGTGTCCCCGCAGGAAGACTCTGAACCCCCACAGGAACTAGAGGATGAGGACCCACAGTGAAAAGGCTCATGGGAAATATGGAGTCGGTCAGGGCGAGGACGTGAAGACGTATTTCTTGTTTTCTTATCCTATTAAATGACTCCTGTTTTTTGCCAGCACGTCACTTAGACACAACACTGTAGATGTTTGGGAAATGTGTGCCTATACAGAGAAAAACAGGGTGGGAAAGTTTGTGCTTTACACATTTGATCTGAATATCTGGTTGCACCAAACATTTAAAGGAGCTTTCCATAATGCAATACAGGACTATTACTTGTGTACCTTGGGATACAGACTCTTTTTGCTACTGTCGAGAGGAGAGAAAGACTGGTGGCACAGACCTCAACCCAGCGTGGTAATACTGGACTGCAGACATTTGCTGCCAATTTATACATAATTATTTTCTGAATGCAATTATATATAAACACCACAGTTACTCGTTCTTGTGTTTCAATTTTAGCAAGAGTTTTTGAGGTCTTTCGTGGGCCATAATACGTTTGTTTTTTAAAATATAAAATATGGATTATAAAAGGAGCCAATCACAAGAGGGAACTTTGGCGCATCTTCTTCCTTTCAACGTCTGCCAAAATGAATCACTCACCCACAGGCTTAGCACACAAAATCAAATATTTATGCATTTTTTGTTCAATATTTGTTGCCAAATTAAGTTCTTGATACCTAAAGTGTTACCATATTAGCAACGACAGTAGAGGCTACTGATTGTGTGTGTGTGTGTGTATATGTGTGTGTATGTGTGAGTGTGTCTGCCTGTTTAACGCACTTCTTCTTCAGAGGACATAAAACAAAAGTTAAGCAGATGATCTGCTTGGTGAGCCATTTCTGGTTTCCAGTCCTAACATGAATAGTGTCATGGAGGGTTGACCACCCCAAATGTTGTTGTTCAGTGGTAAGCACTGAGAGAACAAACGATTTTTGCGAGTAGTAAGGCTGTGCTGCAAACAAAACCAAAAAGGAAAAACCAGTAAACTAAATTTACACCAACACTGCCAAAGTGTTTGAATATAGGGGGAAAAAAAGGAAAACGGGTTATCATTTATATACAAAATATATAAGGACCAGTAAGAATAATGTATTAAACAATACTGATTAATCAATAGGTCAATTCATCAATACAGTGTCCTCTGTCTTGCCAGTGTGCTTCATTATAATCTATACTTGCTCTCATTATATATAAAAAGAAACTGCAAATAACTCCAAACTAAAACCCTCAGGAAAACATCAACTGTAGAAGCAGATATAAAGTTGTCAACCTTGTAAAAGTCACCTTTTCCTTATTGGCTAAGATGACAGCGTTAGCAGCGAGATATGTTGTTACATTTGTTTTACACTTCGAGTCTTTAAAGTGTCTTCTTTGGAATTTCCCATCAGCAAAAGAATCGGTTAAGTTGGCCACACGTTGGCCTTAAAACTTATGTTCCATCACGTTTTGATAATGGGGAAAACAAATCTTACACACTCTTAAGACATTGTAAACTTTGAATGCCAATCTCTTAGGTCATTGTTTTCTTATTGCCTCACATTCAAAATCAGATCAGAAACACGGGCAGTGAATGTGGTTCATTTAATATCCCATAGACCAATAACAATACTCACATTAAGAAAAGAAGATACCTTAAAGCGACGGAGGCGATGGCAGTTGTGTAAGTGATGAGCTGATTGTTCTTTCGCTGGCATGCAAGCTCTCAAAACAAACCAACAAAAATACATAAAACACAACAGAAACTCACTTATAATTAAATAAATGTTCCTTTCAACAGTTAATGATACTGATCGCTTAATGCACTAGCTGCTTTAAAAGGCAACTTTATTGATCCTTCATCCAGTCATTTTCAAATAAATTAAGGAGGGGCGTTGGTGGCCTGGTGGTTGGTGCAAGCCCGGGTTTGGGTCCAACCTGTGGCTCCTTTTCCGCATTTCGTTCACCACTCTCTCACCCCGATTTCTGGCTGTATCCACTGACCTGCCTCTAAATGAGACACACACACACACACACAAACACACAAAAGTGGTCACTTTAATACTTCTGCAAATTTCCCTTTGACATAAAATGCATTGTTTCTAAAGTATAATTTGTACTTTGTACTTTGTAAGTGGAATTTCTCAGGATAACAGCTGAGCAAATAACATGGTAACAGTGTAAAGTTCAGGATGTAGGATGGTGAACAAAACGTAAAGGAAAACTCCAATGTCATGTCTTATTGCTAGAAGTCACATTATTGTCCCTGCTTTCATCCCCAAACCCCCAAAACATGTGAATACCCAGTCACACATCCAGCTGCTCAGTTGCATGTTAAGGATGCAAATGATTCCTTGTGAATGTCCCACTTTTCTTAATTCATAATTCAAATCTACATAGACAATGTGTTTGAGGGACCATAAGTAGATCATGAGTTAGCGCAGTCCTCTACACAGAGTTGGCGTGTCTACTCTCTGTCACACAGAGTGCAGTGAGGCAATATGTAATGAATTATCCACCGCTAATCTTGTCGAGTTCTCATGACCTACATGCACATCTGAAATCTCTTAAGCGCTGGTATCTCGTCTCACACTGTTCCTCTGCTCACCTCTGTAATCTCATCTCATTAAACTAAACTGAAGATGAAGAGTACACATGTTGACCTACAGAGAGGACAGGAGAGGCAATAACATCATAAGATACATATGTAGAACATCATGTTCCTTTTTTTCTGCAGACACTGCATTAACATTCTCGATCACAACACAATGTTCCAGACTGCAGTGAATTGTGAAGTACATCCATAGTGGCCTGTTTACTGCTGCCCCAGACACCGCTATAGTGTGGAGGAGAGGGGGGGAAATAAACTGCAGCTCAGGCGACATGAGCTGAAGATAATTGGTCCACCCACTGATTGGAAAGGCATTAGACGGAGAATCATTCTCCTCCAAAGCCCCTTTTTATGACCAAATGTATTTGAAACCACTGAACCACAACAACTTCTCCTTTTTTGGGGTGCTGTGTCACTCGCTGTATCCTGTATATGGCATGCCTGCAGTTTTTTGTATTTTGCCTGCAGTTCATTGCTAATGAGCTGTAATCGTCCAACAAACACAGTGAATATTTTTTATTAAACTTTTGTAAAAACTTAATGAGATAGAACTGGTGTTATGTAAGCAAGCTATTCAATACAAAACTGAACCCCGTTTTTTCTGGGCACGTGATTGGAAGTGTTTTCTGCTTATAGTCTGAGTACCATCGTCCATGACCAATTCAGTAGGGAAGCAAAAAAGGCCGTAATACAATCACGGGACCCATCAGCCCCTACAAGGCAAATTTTAATCAAAACTCGAGAGCTGTCTCTTCTAACATTCATCTGAGAAGTCGGTTCTAAACTTCAACTCCATTCTCTCTTCTCAATGTTGTAAGTCGGACTGTAAACAAAGGCAATGCACGGAAAATAACATTTTGGCAGGAAGTTATTTATGGGTAACTACTGGCTACATCGGAAGGCCCAAAACATTAGCCAATACACCTCAGGGGAATATATCACCATGAGATGATACCTGTTGGTTTCTTAGATTGATACAACAAAAACAATGCTCATGAAAATGATCCAGGCTTCAAAAAAAAGAAGAGAAAACGTCCTATCTTTGATTCTGTTTTGAGCTTTCAGGTTGTATAATTAAATAAATTAGTGTGTGTGTGTGTGTGTGTGTGTGTGTGTGTGTGTGTGTGTGTGTGTGTGTGTGTGTGTGTGTGTGTGTGTGTGTGTGTGTGTGGTGTGTGTGTGTGTGTTGTGTCTATTTAAATTCTTCCATTGGCCTCTCTTATGTGACTCTGTCCTGTTTTCGGCTAACTCGCCCTGTTAAGTAGAGTAACAGTTAGCTCCTTTTACTGACAGGTGGGGTGATGAAATAATGATGGGATAAGTGATGCAGTAAATTAGTTCTCAGATGAAATTGTATTTCGCAGAAGTTCCTATAGCATATTTCTCCTTGTGCTTCCTCTTTGATCTGAACTGCTCATCCTGCACGTCAGAGACCCTCACTGGCAGCGCGCAGTAGTAGTAGAGAATAATCACACGATGTCTCTCAGCTTTAAAGCTAATGGGACTCTGTCAGTATGCCGATGATGTAACTTTAAGTGTGGA